GGGGGGGGGGGGGGGGGGGGGGGGGGGGGGGGCGACGCTTCAGCTTCAGCTGCCCAAATACAGCTTTCTGAGAGACCTTTGCAGACTCACTTGTGTTCCGGTGCCTTGTCCAGCGCCTCGAGCTGCTCGATCCGAGCCATCATGTCGCTTTGTTCGTTGTCATACGGGGACAAGATCAAGAAGACAACGACATTCTGCAGGGCTTGTCGAGCTTTTTGCTCGTCCACCTTGATCCTTGGGGTGTCAAAGATCGCGTTTTCGTAGCGAGCAACATCAAGATGTTTGCGCTCGTGCAGGGCATACTTGATCATCAATTCGTAGAATTTCAACTTGAGGTCTTGTTGTCTTCTCTCGTCAAAGAACTTTGTGTTGACTTTGCGCGAGACGATGTTAGTTCTTGCATAGTCGCCCCTCTCCAAGTTCAAGCGCATTTGCTCGAGGATGAAGTCCGTCTTTTCTCGACGACCCATACTGCCAAATGTCTCCACTGCGAGCTCCTGCAGAACATCCGCAGCACCCGAGACGTCGCCTTTTGCAGCAAGGATAGAAGCCAATAGACGCGTGACCCGAGCACGCTCCACCTCTACAAAGATCTGTCCGAGTGCATGCAGCAGGAGTGAGTTCGTGTACGCATGTGTGTCAGGCCTTTCTGGGCAGCCAGATACTCACCTTGCCTTCGCTAACCGTTCTCAAAGTCTCGATCAGTTTGTGCCTTTGATCCTCCGTCACACCCTGGTCACCAATCGTCTTTGCTTCATCTATCAGCTTGGTGATCTTTGGATCCTCTGCACCTTCGCCTTTGTCCTCCAGAGCTTTTTCCTGGCCCGGCTTTCTGTCTCCCTTTTTGGTCTGGCCGCTCGCTTCCTTCGCCTGACTGGACGACCCAGGCTTTTCTCCATGGATGCCATCTGCCGCCACGTCCTTCATTTCCACGTCACCCTCTTCGTCCTCCGGTCCCTCCTCGGAAGGCACCAAGCTGGAGCCGGGTGGATGTAGAAAGTACATGGACAATTGGACCATCTTGGTGACCGCTTGCTTCAGCTGTCCGTGCTTGCGGGACAACGAAGAAAGGGTCTCGGAAAGCAGTTGCCAGTTGGTGGATTTGAGGTCGGGCTTGCTTCGAATGAGCAGCACGGAAAGCAGCAGCAGGCGGGTAGTGGAGCTCAAATCGGCTGCCTGCGGATTGATGAGGAGGTTTGCTCTAGTAATGAGCCTCTAGAGCTAACGAGGGTTGCTTGAATGAGCACAGTCAGCTTACATTACGAGAGCGCTTCTCCAAGGTAGCAATCTTCTCTAGTGCATCTGTGAGTTTGCCAGACTGCGCATACAAGGCAAATATAGATGATCGCATCAGCAAGTGGATGAGTGAGCCCGACTAAGCGCGTGGCTCGCCCAAGAGTTGAAGCGCCGTTGTGCTTGTGTTGCCCCCAGAAAGCTCTGCGGCCGTGTTGAAGACTCACCGATGCCAATGATCTGACTTGGGGCTCCAGCTCGTCCACCTCTGGGGACAAGTCTGCCTCCTGTTTCTTGTCAGTGACGTTCATGCTGCACCAGTGATTGTCTGTTCGTTGACTGGGTTGGAAGTCTGTGGTTGCTTCAGGTGTGCCAGCAGACACAGTTCAGCGGGACTCGTTGCTTAGGATCGCTACCAACAAGTAATGCGTCAGCATATGATGATGTTGGACAACTCTACTTTTAGTCGTGTGTGCGAGAGCGTGTGAAGCCTTAGCTGGATGACAGGTCGGATGATGGATGAAATCATCGGTGCGCAAGCTTGGATCCAGAGTCGTCAATTCAGAGGTTGTTGGGAAGCTGCTGCATCCTGCCTCACTCCTGGATGCGCGTGCACGGCCTCTTTCCTACGGACTCACGACTCACGACTCGTGACTCACAACTGTGACTGTTGCTGCACACCTGCAGCCTCCCACCGCGATGACGAAGCTCATCAGAAGGCGCGCGCGCGTTCAAACGACGCTCACGATTCAGATCACGTGCCTGCTTACGACTTTGGGTGAACTCGAGCGTACGTACGTCTGTTTGCAATTTTTGAATTCCCAGGGTCAGCCTACGCAAAGTCATCCTGAGGGAGCGCGGATCCCATCACTGCTGCGGCCTGCGAGAGGCCGGGTGCCATCCAAGAGGCCGGACCTAGTTTCGAAGATCCTGCAGCACCACCGTCGCTCATCTTTTTTTGGCGCCGATCGCAGAGAGCCTCGGACATCCGCCAAATCACGGGGCACAGTCACGGACGGTGACCGCTTTCGCATTGTGCGCGACCTTTCTCGAGATTCTCTCTGTCTTCACACGCTCCGTCACTTGTATGTCCTTAGCAGCTTTTCCTCTCGAAATATAGACGCGCGCCGTCTCCAACTGTACAGGGACCTATAATAGTAGCATGAAAGCTCGGCTAGAACGCGCGGCGTGTTGCTCAAGAAGCGGGAGGCGCGCGTGTGATTCGCGCTCAGTCAGCCAAGCCTCCGGTGCGGAAGCAGTCTGTCTGACTAGGGACAGCATATATGCGTAGTCTCTGACGGAATTGCTGTTGAGTGGCCAGCACATGCGAAGGAACCAGAAGTCGTGCCTGGATCGGAGAATTGGACGGGGTGTGGCATAAAGTAGAGCGTTTGATCATATCATTCGTTACAGCGCGTGACTGTCAGAAAAGCTTTGCTGGCTTGCAATATAATGCTTTGGTTCTGGCCTGCCCTCCTTTTCTGCACCCACCAGCCATCCGTCTCAAAATCAAGCTCGGAGGAAGGATGGAAGAATACCGCTCCACACGACTGAGACTCACACTGTGCCGGCCGGGTTGCGGCCACAGCTGAACGCGCCCCAGCTGGCAGGCGCACCCCAAAGACGCCCGTTGATCGCAGATGGCGGTGAAGATTGTGTGACGCAGAGACGGAGTTGTGTCTAAGCCGGCAGGCCAAGCCGTCCAAATCTTTGTTGCTCGAAATCTACGAATGTCATAATACCTACCCTAGCTGGTACGAGCAAGTCAATGAGTCAAAGCTCAAGTCACACAGTCTCGAACATAGTCTTGAACTCAAACACGAGCTTTAGAGTGTTGACATAAAAGTGGCGGCACATATCCTCTTGCCTAGCTATTCTTGATTCAAATTTATGATTACAAGGCTTCGTGCTCGACCTGCCACCCTCGCCCAAAAAATCACGATTTTCCAGATTGAAGATTCACGATTGAAATCCTGCGCAGGCTGCAGCACCGGCCTTGGGCGTCATGCCTCGGATGGCTAAGCATATACAAATCAAGAATGGCCAAGCATATACAAAGACAAGGCAGGAGGGTAGTAGGTACATGCAGCAGCAGTCACAGTCACGCGCTGAGTTTCTATATGCAGCTAGCAGCACCGCGGTGTAGCGGACACGGCGCTGTCTCCGATGTGTCCGTCGCATGCCGAAGTGGTTCAAGTCAAGAGTCAAAGTCAAGAATCACGAATGTGAGTACTTGCCTACCAGCAACTAACAGCTAAAAAGCGCATGTTGCCCGCATGCCTGCTGCTGCTATGCTTGCCCGAACAAGTGTCCTGAGTGTTGTCGTTGGTTGCACGCTTGACTGAAGACATGGCGAATAATGAGCAAGCAAATCGTGAACGCAAGGAAGCGGCAAGAGGTCACGCGCGTGCTCGGTCGAAGGGTGTCTTTGGACGCTTTGGTGTCATGCAGGGCAAATTGGACAGAAAACGCGCGCATCTCTTCAAATGCCGATCGCACAGCACAAATTTGACCGACCGACCTTGGGCGGCCCAACAGCCACCACGAGAAAGGTCGCAGCCGAGGATTGACACGCGCGGGGAGAGGTTGCGGCGCATCACCCTGGTTGAGTTCATGGCTAGTCACGACTCACGAGGCTCGCATCTACACGCACACCAGCGATTAGCTTTGTGCTGAGTCACACCTCACTCAGACTCTTTGAACTCTTTGATTGTCCTCCACAGCACAAAGCACGTCGACTCTCGGCTGATATCCAACGGAGGGTGCCGATCATCCCTGCCATCTCGACCTCCTATCTCGCAAGAGGGCGCCTCTCTGGGCCTAGCGATACCGCAGCCCATTCATCACTCGACCTAGCCAGATGTTCGGTGACAGCAAGCCACGCTTTCCCACGCGGACCATCGGATTATTATACGATTAAGTCTCGCACAGTGAGATTGCCGCACTCCACTTCGCAGCTTGCTATCATATACTCCCAAGAGGTCTAGCATGGCCCCCTCATCCGCAAAGGAGACCTCCAAGCTGTCAGAAATGGCCGAGGGCGGGCAAAGTGTGGTGACAATGCAGTCCAGGAGTAGTCCACCAGCTGCGAGTACGTCAGGTGACGGCGACAGTCTCCGCCGTACCACTGCACTGGCTTTGCAAACACTTGGCATGCACTCTCCTCGTCGTCGCGACCTCGCTCTTCAATCGGTAGACTCGTCAGCTTCAGCAGAAGCTTCAAACGTCAAAGCAGGCGTCGCATCACCGACAAAACCCAACTCAGCTGGCTTGGTCGCCTCACCGACGCTCTCCTCTGCACTCGATGGGCGCCCACCTGCTTCACCGATCGGCCCACGCGCTGCTCCCTCGTCGCCCCCATCGAGGTTGACTGGCACTTTGGGTCTCTCGCCGCACTTCGCCGACTTCGCCCATGGCACCTCGTCCACAGCCTCGTCCTCCACTGCCGTTTCGCCAAGCTCTGTCACTGCAGACGTTCACGGCGATATTCAACAGCCCGGCGCAGACGAGGCACCAGCCTCTCAGGATAGCGGCAAGGGTGCGCACAGCGCGAGGCCTGCGTCTCCCGCAGTGGCACCCTCTCCGAGCAGCGCTCCGCCCAACCTGGAAGGTTTCCCGAACTCAGCACAGTCGATGCCGCTCTTCGCCTTCACCACAAGTCCACCACCAGAGTCAGGCATTATTGCATACTCTGAGCACTCGACAAATGCGTCATCTTTCAGCGGTGTAGGGACGTCCCCGCAGGCGAGACCGCTGGAGTCGGTTGCACAGAGCGGTTCCGCTCCTGTCACAGTACCCAACGCTGTACGAAAGTCGAGCACTTCCACCTCATCTCCGGCATCGCCAGCAGCCAGAGAGCTGCCCTCTACTTCATCATCGTTGCAAGTGACCGCAGTTGGTCCTGGCCCGAGCCATGGAACACCGCCCTTCCTCTCGCCGAGCTCGCGAAGCCCAAGCACTGGCAGTCTGAGCGCAGGCGGTGGCTCAAATCATGGAAGCGCTGTCGGCTTCTTCTCGTCTTTGCGGCCCTCCTCGCCGATGAGGCGAGCAAACACGGATGATGGGTCATCGGTAGTCTCAGCGACCAGTGCGAGCTTGGCCGATACAGGGGCTGGTCCTTCAAGTGTCACGACCGGCGGAATTTCGGCATTCCGAGACAGAAGGAGAGAGGCAAAAGAGCGAGAGAAGGCCAGTACCAAGAGTACAGATGAGGCTCGAGCGAGGAGGCCCAGCAGCGTCTTTGAGCACGTCGGAGGAATGTGGGAACGATTTGGTAAACGTGTGCATTCGCGCGGAGAAAGTCGCGACTCTTCGTCGCAGGGTCACCGACGCGGAGTGAGCGCGGCGTCCTTGACGAGTGGAGGTGCGATGCCCTCGGGTAGTGCCTTGGACACTAATGAAGAGGCAGAAGAGCAGGTGAGTGGTCTCGTCTGAGCGCAGGCGCCGCAGAATCAGCGGGTCCGTATGCTCAGGAGGATTTCGGGTCAGGGTACCACGTCCCTGCATGCGCTCGAAATTAGGGCGTTGCCAGGCGCAGACATAGCTTCGGCCCAGCCATGCGCAGGGCGCGTCGATTCCCTGCTCAAGGTCGCTGACCATGTGTCCACTCGCGCCTGCAACGCTCTCTCCATCCCTACGCCCCAGTCGCCGAATGGTTCCTACCTCGCATACACCAGCGATCGCTTCAACTCTAACCTAGTACAGACGCAATATGCAGCTGGCGGCAGCAGCTCGAACATCCAGATCGCAGACGTTGGCGAAGCACATGCCACAGGCGCCGACCCGATGGAGGTTTTGGATTCGCCACCCCTAGATGCGAACGAGCTTGACGCCAGTCAAGGTGCAGACGGACATGCTCGTGCTGAGTCATCTACAGCTCCTCTGCGGCCACTAATCAGACCTGCCAGTACCCCGCTAGAGCGCGTGCTGATTCAGGTGACCGAGGACAATGAACGCTTTTCGGTGGTTGACATCTCTGGTCTTAGCTCTGCTGCAGCTATCAAGGAACGTATGCTGAGCAAGTTGCGTGAGTTTGCAGAGGCTTGATCTAAGATCGCGCGTAACGTTCTGACGAATATCTCGTGCCAATGGGCCCGCCTCTCTGCAGATATCTTCGACAGCGAGCACTCCAGCTTTGCGTTGTATCGCACCGAGATCGGTCAATCAGATGCAACGGGTCCGCGCATCAACGACGATGCCCTGCTTGCACAATGCTTGCAGCTCGGAGATAGCAAAGGCACCTTGAAATTTCTCATGCAACAAATCATTCCAGCGAGAGATGGTGATATGCTACCTCCTCCAGTCTCTGGCAGTATTTCGCCACAAAAGACTCTCAGAGATCTTCCTGGATCCAAAGCCTCCTACAATGTGTCCGGCAGCACGTCTCAGAGCGGAGCTGCGCCCATCGTTACTGGACATTCAAAATCGAGCAGCTTGTCGTCAAAGTCGACCGTCAGCGACGTCCTTGCGTACAGCGATGCGCTCGTCGATGGGACCTCGGAAAGTCAGTCCCTACGCAGCGCGTCGACTTCGGGAAGCATGATGCAAAGGGGACGAGCTAAGCCTCGACGGCCTGCGACTGCTGGCGAATATGGGAAGTCGCCGCCGAACTCCGCTTCTTTGCGCGGCTTTGCACTCGGCTCTGTTGCAGAGCAGCAAGGGACGCCAATTTCTTCGATCGCCCATTACCGTAGACCAAGCGTCCCAAGGGACGACACTGTGGTAGAGGAGCTGGATGATGAGGATGAGAGTACACGTACCAGTCGACCAAGCGCTGGGCAAGTACACACCCGACATCCTTCTTCGGGCCAATCCCAGCCATGGGTAGCGCCATGGGAAGAGGTGTTACCACCTTCTCGTGAAGGTGGTCCAAACGAAGGGACGCACGCACTGCGGAATCGGCCTCCTTCGCCCTCACTCGTTCTGAGCCCGCAGTTGGGAAGTTCCTCGAGCGATGTTGGCCGTGGACCTCGGCGCTCGGACCAGCAAACGATGGGCAGGATGGGGTCGCAAACTTCATTGCAGGACGGTGGACCGCTGCCTCGGAGTCTCCTCACCAGTGGCGGAAGAGATCTGCGTCACCACGACTCGGCTGCGCAAATGTACGCTGGTGCTTCACCACCTTCGGAACATGGAGCCAACTTCGACCACCGCCAGCGCAGTGATACCGCTTCCGACCGCAGGCCTTCCTACTCAGATGGCGCGAGCAGCCCGATGCACGCTGCGAAAAGTATGGATGATCTTCGATTGCGGAACGCCGCTCCTCCTGCTCCGCCTCCGGGCACCATGCCGCCGGCCCGTCATCCCGATCTGCTCGCTTTTGGCGGTGTCCATCCACTGGACACTCTCGATGGTCGTTATCCAAGCCCGAGTGTGGCGAGGGCTACTCCGACCCCACCTTCCGCCGGTAGTGGGTCTAGTGCTCCGGCCCGTCATCATAGCGGCGATGTCCGGGGAACTCCCTTCGTTCACGCGTACGCAGGACCACAGGATCAGTATCGTGCCCGCGCTCCGTCACTAGTAGAGTCGACGTATCCGGACCATCAGAAAGCTCGAGCACCTTCATTTGGCTCTGCTTACAGCAGCGACGGAAGAATGCTCGCGCGGCCAGTATCGGATCCAAGACTTCTCGCGATGCGACCGATGCCCTCGCCAGGTTTCAATACCCCACCGCGACCTAGCCCTCACCAGTATCAGGCCGGTCCTGGGCCTCTCGCTCCGCAGTACGATGGCAGGTACTTGCATCAAGCTAGACCCCCTAACCAGCAATATACCAACGAATTCGGCGCGCGTATGACGCAGTACGCTATGGCAGGTCCTGCGAGCGATCCGAGGCTGCAGCCTCCAGCGACCATGTCCGGACGCATTTCGCCAGCTCCTTTTTCTTCTCGACCGCACACCTACCACGACATGCAAGCGCAACATTCTGCTTACTTTAGGCCCCCACAGCAAGGACCGAGTCCTCATATAGCCCATCAGTCGCCTGGCTTTGTTCCTCGAGAAGACCCCTTTGCAGCAGCGCATTTCCCCGCGAGCAGCTCTCGGCAGGTGTCGGAATTTCAGCGGACTGCATATGGACCAGGGGGATTGCAACCTGGCAAGACTGTGCAGGAAACACTGCGCTCGCAGCACCATCCCCAGCCACAGTTTCAGCCACATGGGCACAGCTTTGGTCCTCGCGAACCGCGTGATCCTCGTGTGGCATGGAACGGACCGCGTCAGCCATATGAGCAAGAGTACCCCGCTCAGCCTTATCGCACGGCGCCTCGAGCCGAAAGTCCAGCGCGACCGATGCACACTTCTGCACAGATGCCCCAGCAGAGCCAGCACTATGGACGCACCGGGACGTATGTGGAACACCAATCTGGTCCTCCGAGTCGCTCCATAGAGACACAACAACGATTCCCCCAAACGACGCAGCCCCCGAACAACGGTCCTGGAAGTCCAATGTCGTACATCAGTGGAATTCAGCAATCATCGCCTTCTGTGGCATCACTTTCGTTCGCAGGGCCTTCGGCGCCTGCGTCGTCTTTCCAGCCGAATCAAGAACAGCATCGGCCATCAGAAACATCGTCGGGATCCTCGTATGCGTCATTCGCATCTGGCGGAAGGAATGTCTCTGTGGAAGATCAGACAGCTCGCAACTCGGTGGGAGAATCCATTGGCAGCGCTCCGACGTCTGCGAGAAGCTCGAGGAGCGAGCCGCTGAGCCCGAATACTCAAAAGAGGCTACTGGATACCAAAGCTGGTACTCCTATAAGCACGAACCAGGCGCTTGCAGGTCATGGCTCGCCAAACGTCCCATACGATGCTGCCAGACGGCCCTCGGTGGAGGATCAAGATCTTTTGAACATCAGACCACTTCCCAAGCCGCCTCAAAGCCAACAGCAGCGAAGTGACGCCTCGCGTACTGATCGCATGTTGTCACCGGTCCATGTGAGCTCGACTGACGACGAAGGCACTTTCGACGCGTCGAGATGGGCGTCGGTGCTCAGTGCAATTGATGGCGATGGTACTGCGAGGCCAGGCGACGGCGCGACGTTGCGGCCAGACAGGTCGGACTCGTCGACGACAACGAATGCCAGCTCCTTCACCTCAGAGTCCACTTCAACTACTCTGAAAGCTGAAGACGAGCTAGACGATGCTGAAGACGGCGGTGGCACATTTGCTTCCTTCGTGGACGACGATGACGATGACGATGCTGCTGGAACTTGGGCGCGTCCATTGGATCCCAAGGCCTCTGCGCTCAGTCAAATCCGATCTCAGAGTGGCACCAACGCGCCCGAAATTACGTTGTCCGTCTCACACCACGGTACCGGCACGACGCTGCACGACCCTGGTGTATCACAGGAAGCCGGCTCTCGTAGCCCTCGAAGACCTCAATTGACGATCAGCATCGACTCGAACAAGGGAGGCCAAAGCGGTGCGCACCCCAGCTCTCCTCGAACTCGTCAGCTTTCGATCGCGAATGCGGCGTCGACTCTTCTCCAACCTACGGAGCCTTCCTCTGCCGCGTCTTCGAAACCCATGACTCCGACGTTGTCCGGCGTCAATCGTCGATTGTCATTCGCGCAGCGTGAAACTGATTGGGCGCCGCGTCCGCCACCCGAGCAGCTCTACGAGAACTTGGACGAATTCTTCCCGAAGCATGACCTTGACAAGCCCGTGCTTGAGGCTTTGATACCGGGCAGTCCCCTTGTAGGCAGTCCAAAGTCCGACGCCAATGTCGCTCTCGCTCCGCCATCCTCACCCACCGCAGTGACGGGTCGTGGCATCGGACGCAGTGGTCACAAAAAGTCTATCAGACTCGTAGCTCAAGACCGCAAGCGTCTGCTCGAGCGCGGGGAGACCACTACCAGGCGTCGACTGGAAGGTCTCAGCAATCTTGAAAGAAGGCGTAGTACCAAGCTCTGGGGCGGCAAGGTGATCGAGATGACCCCTGGCACGGACCTGAATCAGCCGGTCTCGGCCACTTCTGTCGCATCTCCGACTGCTGACGCAAATTCGAGACGTGAGTAACGCTACAAAAGCCTGAATAGGTCTTTGCGGTGACTAACATGCATTACGTTCGATCTTGCACAGCGGTGTTCAAATGGGTCAAGGGTGATCTGATTGGAAAGGGTACCTATGGGCGGGTGTACCTCGCACTCAATGCGACGACTGGTGAGATGATCGCAGTCAAGCAGGTCGAGCTGCCCAACACAGACAGCGACAGATTGGACGTGCGGCAAAAAGGTATGGTGGATGCTTTAAAGTCAGAGATAGAGACTTTGAAAGACTTGGACCATCCCCACATCGTGGCGTATCTTGGCTTTGAGGAGACAAGACAATTTTTGAGCATCTTCTTGGAGTGAGTCTTGAGACGTCGCCGTGTTGGCGCCAGGTCTCATCATTATGTGCTCACTTTTCCATCGTCTTACAGATACGTACCTGGCGGTAGCGTGGGCAGCTGCTTGCGAAAGCATGGCAAGGTCAGTCGTTGCATGGGACGTTCCCTTGGCATCATGCTTGAGGCTCACGAGAGTTTGTATCCTGGACAGCTCGAGGAAAACACCACCAAGTCCTTCGTCCATCAAGTGCTCACAGGTCTAGAGTACTTGCATTCGAAAGGCATTCTGCACCGAGATCTCAAGGCCGACAACCTGCTTGTGGACCAAGACGGTGTGGTGAAAATCAGTGACTTCGGAACTGTGCGGAAAGGTGCCGACGACGTATACGGCGATGTCGCATCTATGAGTTTGCAAGGTTCCATCTTTTGGATGGCGCCGGAGGTTCTCACTTCAACGCGGGGATACAGTGCGAAAGTCGACATCTGGTCCCTGGGATGTGTGGTGCTTGAGATGATGGCGGGGCGCCGCCCTTGGAGCGATCAAGAAGCTGTCGAAGCCATGTTCAAGATTGGGGCAGAGAGAAGAGCCCCACCCATCCCTGCAGACGTTCGCCTCTCCAAAGCAGCTGCTCACTTCTTGCGCAACTGTTTCCAAACGGAGCCTGCAAATCGGCCAACTGCAGCAAAGCTGTTGACCCACGTCTTCCCTCACGTCGAAGGTGGTTGGAGCTTCAGTCAGACTCAACTGTACAGACACCTCAAACGTTGAGATCTCAAGGATCCGCGGGGGATCCGCCCCCGCACAATCTCTTCTGCCATAGTTGCTTACATCGGTCTCGCTGTGCATGAGGAATATCCATAGTTGTGGTTATGTAAACCTGGATCGTAAGCGTGGACTAGAAACGCCCCCTGTTCCTCTCATCAGCCACATTGAAAGAAGCGTTTCTGACGAGGCTCGAAGACGCACGTCACTTATCAGACTTGAAGCGAACTCGTGAATTTGGTCTCTGTTGAAGTTTCGAGCGCGAATTACGCACGTGACTCGGATCCGCTTGAGTGGTTGCCGGCGACGTTCGGCCGACTTCGCCCTATCTGCTTCCGCGAAACGCGTGGCTTCGACGATCGCTTCTTACATTCAAGGTGCTAACGACTGTCACTGCATGGAGAGCAGCTGCGAAGCTATTTCTGTTCAGCGCTGCTTGCCGATCTGCCTCCAGCAACGACCTGCTGGTGGTCGCCCGCCAAAGTACTCAACACTCGTGACTCCCTGCTGGCTTGAAGCGGCACACTTAGGAAGGAAACGGATCAAGATGGGGAAAGGAGAGGAGGGAGGGGCCTGCTGTATAGTGCTTCACATCTGCACG